TTTGGAAATTTTTGTACATATAATGGGCATAAACACTATTGAAAAAATCTAAATGTGCCAAGTGTTTTTGCTATTTACAATACTTTTGATGGCGACAATAAAATTAATAACAAAACAAATATAATTCTGAAAGTAGATGTGACTGTTATATGTGGCTCACGATTACTGTTCATGGTTGCAGCATGTTATATATTTCCAAACTTGTCAATAAAAAGTTTAGTTTGGCTGAAATTATTGGTCAGTTGTTAAATTGGAAAGCCTATTTTGATATTTGTACAGCTCATGGAGATGAGCACTCCAGGTGTGATGAGATAAATCTTTGTACAGCAAAATGATTAGTATAACAATGTTACAAATTCATTAATAGGCTCGGTCTGAAAAACCATCAGTTAACATCACATGTAATTAGTGGCTAGAAAACAGCAGTGTGTAATTACTGGAAAAGCATACGGACAGAATAAAGAACCAAAAGGAACAGCTTCAACTGACTATCCACAGATTACCGAAAAAAACTTACTACATATTTTCTTGGAACTCAACACAAAAGTATGTCTGCCACATTTAAAAATAATAATAACAATGAAGAAAAACAATGTTATAATTCTAGAGATGCAATAAACAAATGAATAAAACTGTAATTGAGGAGGTTCGGTGAATGAAACTGTGGATTCTAACTCAGATGTAGAAACAGATACTGTGTTTAATGCAGGATGATTTTCAATATGACGTTCCCCGCATCTTCAAGACAGAAATCAAATGACCATTGAAAGAAAATAAAACATATAGTGGGAAATGAACTACCTCAATGAACATGTTAAAATTCAAACAAAAATTTAATACAGGATGAAAAGTGCATTTGTCTGTTTGTTGTTGTTAAGCACAAAACTGGCCAATGGGCTATCTGTGATGTACCTATCATGAGAATTGAAACATAAGTTTGTGTTTTAAGCCCTCAAGCTTAATGCCGAGCCTCTGCAGGGATAACATGAAAAGCAAAATTTATGTATGATGCATTATTTTGGGCAGAGAGAGAGTATTAGTGAGAAAAGAATAAGCTGGACTGGAAGACAGGAATATATCTACTATTTCAATTACGGTTACATTTTAAGCATGTTAACTTTGTCAAAAGAGAATGAGAAGAAAAAAGATTCTAAATTAAAGCAAGATAACAAGAAATATTAAATAATTTTGAGTTTTCTAACAGAAAATTATGCTCAAACAACAAATGAAATGGATAAAATTGCTTACTCGAGAAACATTAAAAGGATAAAAACGAATAAAAAAAGAAATCTGCAGCACATAAAAAATAGCATTATGTTACATATCCTGCCATTTTTCAAAAGTCAAATGATTTACAAATCCTAAACAACTTCTCTTATTTTACTAACAAAAATATTTTTAGTTGTTTAATTAAAAAGCTTCTTTAATTTTATCTCTATTGACAAAAATCTTCAATTTTTGTTCATTATGACATGTTTCTATGAACGTCAGAAATATGCAAAATATAGGTGAATATATGGAGATATTCTTATATCTTGTTTCTGCTTAGTTTTCAAAGATAAAATTAGCAAAAATAATAGTATAATTATAGTTTATCAAATAACAATGCCTAGATTTTTCTTTCACTTCACTTCCTAATCAGGTGACAATGTTTGACTGACATACTTAGTGAATATTAGATTACCATGAGCAAAATGTACCAACTTTGGAGTGATCTTTAACTCTGTATACACTGTTTAAATAATAGTAATTTATGTAGCACCTTGTTTCTTTTTAAATGAAAGTGAACTTTAATCAGGTATATGAAGTATTTAAAAATCCCCCAGTGATTGAATAATATTAATAAAAGGGTTCACGTTTCACTGGTCTTTCATATACACACATACAAACACACACACATACACAACACAAAAAACAAAAACAATCCAACATTAAGAAACACTAATGTTTAAAGATGTACTTATATATCTTATGACAGCCTTATAATTTCTCCAGCTGAACTTTTTGTAAATTATACAAATCTATCAGAGCAGTTCTTGATAAAACCTACCAATTTTGCTTGATTTCATGTCATGAAAATCCCAGTAAAATAAATGGACAAAACACGAGTAAAACACCTAGTTGTTTTTGTGCTATTACATTTGAAATATACACAACCTACAGAAGGGCCCAGGACAACTTAAATACATCTGTAACTTTTTAAGTGTTAAGTATTACTCAGTAGAATTATATATTATGTCCAGTTCTAAACATTTACCTATCAGAAAAAGTTACTTACAAGATATCTACTGAGCCAACTCAAACATAAATAAAACCTACTATGTATAGTAGTAGGTGAAGAGTAACAAAAAAATCTCAAAATTCAAATATTTTTTGTCATAGGTAATTGTTTAAAATGCAAAAATTATACAAGAATTATATCATGTCCAGTTCTAAACATTTACCTATCAAAAAAAGTACTATGTATAGTAGCAGGTGAAGAGAAACAAAAGAATCTCAAAATTCAAATATTTTTGTTATAGGTAATTGTTTAAAATGCAAAAATTATACAAGAATTATATTATGTCCAGTTCTAAACATTTACTTATCAGAAAAAGTTACTTACAAGATATCTACTGAGCCTATCCAAACTTATACCATCTACTATTTATAGTAGGTGAAGAGTAACAAAGAAATCTCAAAATTCAAATATTTTTTGTCATAGGTAATTGTTTAAAATACAAAAATTGATCTAGATGTTTATATTTGTACGATCTTTTTTTCTTTTTTTTACAGATAGCTTAATAATTGCAAACATTTACCTAAACTAATAAATTTTAACGTTTATAGCAGTATCTCAAAACGCAATCTTAATCTAATGCTTTTATAAATTATGGAAAAAGAATAGTAACTACAATTTCACGTACAATAGGAAGATCATTCCTAATTTGCATGAAAAAATATACAAAAGAAAGTTCATACAGAGAAATGCAATAAACTAATGATTACATAAATTCTTAATTTTACTGAAGCCACACAGACCAGCTGGCTGGCCTCAGAACACTGCACTCCTTGGCTTTTATATACTTTCTTGTTTCTTACAACCAGATATTTCTATGTGATGTTTTATTTACAAGTCGAAGATTTCTTAAGATTAAATGTCATTGGTTAAATTGGTACATAAGAAAGAAAAAATTTCAAAAATACACAACTTTCAGTGCTTAGCACCTTTTGAATTTTATGTAAATGTATAAGCAATGCATACACAATACATAATAAAGAACACAAAATTGATGCTTTTAATAAACTTGAACTGTGCTCCACTTTCTATTATTTCCAAGGCAAAACTATAAAACCAGTACAGCTCCTTCATAGATGTGAGATAATGAATATTGAGACTTGATGCATCTGTATGCAACTTCTGACATCATACACATAATCCTCCTAAAATGTGTAAAACTTCAAAAGATTTAAAAGAAAACTAGTCTGATTCATTCAAAATGCCCAATATAACTGATATATATTTATTTGTGATTACATAACCATTTCATGATAATTAAAAGCATTTATTCACTACTGTTTTCAAACTCTAAGAGTTTTTATATTAATGATTCCAAATGTACTTTTGTTTTAAATACAAGAACAAAATTAAACACAATAAATTATTTGATATTTTGCCTAATTTGTTAATTCTAATGAAAATTTTAACAGCCACTAGTCCCTCATTAAGATTTCTAGCTCCTTTTAATCTGGAATAATTTGATTTCAAACCTATAATTTTGAACATATTATGATCCACAAAAAAGCTGTAAGTAACATAATTTCACAGATTTAACATCAAATAGAAAAGCTTCAAAGCTTCCATAAAAGGATAATATACTGAAAGCCACACAACAAAAGGATGCTCCAAATGTAGCTGTCATCACATACTAACCATTATCTTTCCTACTCTCATGTATACAATGTTATTCTGAAACAAACTGTTTAGTCATGTGCTTTATATTTATAAAATATCAATTTCAGGAAATACATTTTTCTGGATAATATAACGTAATAAAAAAGTTTTGAAAAATCGAGTTCAGACCATGTAACATAACTCGCAAAACAAAAGTCACTCAAAAACTATGACAAGATATTAAGGTACCTTTAATAAATATCAACCCTATCGAAATGGAATGCTGTTTCCTTAGGAGGATGACAAAAATAAATACACTTCAGACAGTTTTAGTACAGATAAAAAATGTATCTGCTATATGTAATCTTATATATTTCTGCTAGATATACTCTACAATTAATACTGTAAACAACTTTAGTGTCGTAAATACTAGTACACCCATGACCTGTTGAGTTGTGTGAAAACTCTTCACAAGAAATATGTACGCAAATATATGTAAAAGAAAACGTTAAGCATATAAATTTCTAACTTCAATTTATAATTACAAGTATTAGTTGTTTATGTGAATGATAATATCAAAAGTTCCCAGATATTTTGGTTATTTATTAACTGATTAATTACTATAAAAAAATTCAGATCCCTTTTAAATACAAATTAATGAGGATTTTCTGTAATAAGAGAAGCTTCAGAAACTTTTACTATCACTATCCTACCCAACACAAATCATACAACTTTCTACTTCATCAATGATGTTCACACAAAATGAGTTATTTTTTTATCAAGTTCCCCCTACTCCAACCATAAAATAAGTTACTTGAATTAACTTAAGTCAAAAATGAAACATTCTAATGTCTGTCTACACTGGATGTAATGTTAATCTCACCATTAATTCTCAACAAATGGATTTTTTGTATAACAAAATTGTCACTATCATACAAGTAGAGGTGTATACATATTTACATCTATACACAGCTTACAGTAACATGCCTTTTAAGTTTGTCTTTAGTATCATTACTGTGCTGAATATCATCATAATTCAGCATTAGAAATATGAACGGACAAATAATGACCCCAATCTGTTGCTTGATGCAAAGGTCATCCACCATGAAAATAAAAACCAGCTAACCTGACTCTGAATCACTGCTGTCAGATGAAGTACTTGTGCTACTGCTGCTTGAGCTGTCACTGTCACTTGAACTGCTACTGCTCCCACTCAGACGTGTTGAACCACTCACTACATCAACATGAGAATTCTCAGAATCTGAAAAACACAAGTTTTGAAATAAATGTTCAAAACGATAAAATGTATGCAGATAGTCAAATTCATTAATAAAATAATGAGTTTAGAAGGCAAAAAAACTTGACTTTTTGTACACTATTTTAGCCATTTATGGCTGATACAAAACTTAACTGTTTTTTCTTTTGAAACTGTGGTGATTCCACCAAGTTTTAGACACAAAGGTAAAGTTGATTGGACAATTTAAAAAAATAATTCAACTCTTTTGTTACTCATAGTCCAGGCCAACCAATCAAATGGATTAATAATTTGAAAGTAAGATTAGTTTATTATTAAATTTTATACAGATATACGAGATGTTTCTAGTTTTTATTTATTCAATGAAATACAAAAATACTTTAAAAACTGTATTATTCTTAATTTAAATTACATTTTTTAAAGATATATTTAAATTGTTTCATTCATATTTGTCAGTTTGCTGAGCAAAATATATTTGACTCATTGTGTGTGTGTAAATATATAAAATTTTGCATTTTCTGCTAGCTTATTTTGTTAACCCTCATTTGATAACTTCAGTTTTAATCTATAAATACAGCTTACATTATTTTTTGTATAACCTCCCCCCCCCCCAAATTGGTTATTTCAAATCCTACTTCCCCAATACTGATATGTTTGTGCTTATAATACGTCTCCACATTTATGCAAATTTTAAAAAATATTCAGTTATCAATGTTTTCACAGCCACACCACTCCTTCACCCTGATGTTTTCTAATCTATCTGCAAAATAATTTATTTGTTTCAGAATTTTTATTGAATACAACTTTTAGAGAATATTTAACCTTACCATTCCAAGGCTTTCGTATGCAAAATATCAGATTTTTTTTTTATTAAGTTATAAGTTATGTTTAGTCTAAATAACTTAAATCTCATAACATTATACATTTATATATGTTTATTACTTTTATTATATTGACCTTCCAGTCCTGCCTGGCTAACATTACAGAAGTTGCTATGACACAGTGCACATGCACTCATTTTACTGTATCCAAGAATATAAAACTGGCCTTTACAAAGTGATCTATCTTGACTGTATTTTAGTGGACCAGTATTTTGTAAAATACAGTCACATTTCAGTTATAATACGTTACTACTATTTACAAATAAGTTCTTAAACTTATTTTTTTAAAACATAGAAAAGTAAATAAAGAAGTATAACAAACAATTCTATCTTCTAGTTACAAACTTTGTACTTCTTTGCTGCTTACCATAGGTTGCTAAGCCTTATCAAATTTCGCATGTGGAGGATGTGAAGCAAAATAATTGTTTTGTTTTTTTTAGGTTTTATGTATACATTTTGAAATAACCAAAAATCATAAATTACCATAGCAATACCATAGAATCCCACTATAATTTATCAAGCTTATTAACTAAGCTGTATTTGGGTCTACAAAATATGAAATGTTTTAGCTCCCTAAAGTCTTACCTTACCAGCTTGAAATCTTGTATGAAAGGAACAAGATTGACACCCTAATACATCAAAATGGCTGAGAAAGCCACTAGAGGAACATTCAGTGTTTTCTATTGGTTATTCACATGTCATAGACAGGAGTAGGTGTACATAAGGAAGTGTTTCCAAAAATGGAAAGAGGTGGGCAGGGCCACTGTGTTTGATTCAGTAAACATAGTGGTATCTCAGTAAACAGAAAAGACAGGATGTTCTTATTTTATATTCTAGCTTGTCAATATCAATAATTTGAGTTTCTAATTCATACGAAACTACAGACTTTGTATTTTGACATCACAAACATATAATTTGAACCAGTGCTGCATTCAACATACCACGTAACACAAAAAAATCAATATTTAGGTGCTTTTTTTAATATTCATTTTAAATTAAGAAATTAACCAATGCATAATACTAAAATTTGAATTATAATCTGCAATTTGATAGACATAAATTCATAAAATAGTCATTCAATAAAATTTTGAATACAAGTCAACAAACACAATGACATAGCCTTTGACCCATGTCGATAGGGTTAATATTATAAGCTCCAAGTCTTACTACTGAGCCACCACTGAATGATGGTTCTTATACATGGCAACTAAATATTAATTTTTATTATACAGAAAACAAACTAAAAAACACCCGAGTCTTGCCTTTCTTTGGTGGTTTCTTGGAGGATACTAATTGACCACTAACATCCTGCAATCTTTTCTCTAGTTGCTTTTTTTCTTGCACTTGTTCTTCTTTAGACTTGCCAGTTGTTTTGCTCTTTGCTGTTTATTCAGAGCAAAAACATTGTAATTAATATGTCTAAAGTTTACTATTAAAAATGTTTCACCTTTATATGTTGAAATGTTCACTTGAAAATAACACAAACATAAATTATTTTCTATTGTCTTTAAAATTTGTAGTGCATAATGGAGGGATTTATACATTTTGATAAACAGTTTATAAAATATAACCTTTATACTCCTGATATATATATATTAGAATATTCGTTAACTTATAAAACTGCTTGTAATATTCTACTTCTCGAGTCTGCCATAATGTGCATCTAACAATGTATAGATTATTATTGTTGTTTCATTAATGTGTATATTAACCCAGATGAAGATGCAAAGGCGAAACATTGGTTAAAATAAAAATTCCTTTATATCAAACAGTTGTGTATATTAATACATGTATATGTGTATATTAAGACTGATGAAGCTGCAATGGCGAAACATTAGTTAAAAAGGTCATTTTTACTAAACTTTCTCAAAATTATATTCTACTTTATTACAAATATTGGATAACAAACATAGTAAGTCACTAAACTATTTTATTTCAAAGGTTAAAATTTACAGACAACTGAAATATTAATCATTATTTCAAAAGCAAAATAAATATAAAAACAATCTTATTGTTGTATGTTACTTACTATATGGTTTCCTTGTTTTTTTTCGTAAACATGAAGCTACATATGCTTCCAGTTCACGAAGCGTTGAAGGCTTAAGTGTTTCAAAGTCAATTTCTATCTCATCAGGATTAGAATCTCGTAACGAAGGTTCTCTGGACTGAATAATATGGACCACTCTGTCTAATTTAACACCTATATCACACAAAGTAAAAGCAGAAAGAGAGATTTACAAAGTTGATCAATGTTTCTATACTCTGCAACTCTTGCAAAATAAACATTTTTTATGTAAACACATTTCTTAGTTCCTATAAATTAAGTATATTTAATCAAAAAGTGTTAGGAAATAAACTCATTAAAGCTCTCTCCACCATTAATTGTTACATATGCTCAAACTTCCAGTTACAATTCAAGCATATATTACAAATTAATCTTCCTGATGAAGACAAAAAATGAAGTAAAACACCACATCTAACATACTGAAACTGTTGAAATTTTCATCAGTAAACATTTAATCTGAACAATATTTCAAAAGTTTTTCAAAACTAAAAATTTTCTACCACTTTGCTTTATCTTAGTTACTATACCACTATTAACCTCAATGCCTCCAAGCTCAATATGAAGACATTTCTATTAAACATCAAAATTTAACTTACAAAGTAGATGCAACTTTTCGAACATGCTACATTACTCTGTTAAATCAAAAAGATGAGTTATTATATGTTCCAGTGTACTAATAACGGAACTAGTTTTGTTCATAAAACCTCTTACTGCTGGTTATTTAGTGTCACTAAGGACACCAAAACATAAACAAAAAGTAGGGAAGTTGTATTACCGAAATGGCCTGAAATATTTATTTTATCAAATATATCCGATTGTTCTGTGGAAAGAAAACCTTTGAACAAGTATTTAATACATTCAGTACATAACTGGTTCTTCTTTTAATGTGTTAGACATACAACACGTTTCATTCGTAAGCCACAAATTGTTTTGGGTATAAAGTCTACTGGTAACAACAGGGTGCATTTTAATGAAAACCTACCCTAAATCAACTTTAAACTTAATCTATATAAAAATAATAATAATAATAAAAAAAAAAAACTAACCAGTGAAGATGAATGATTTTATTGGGAAGTTTACGATTCTGTAACTTCCCGGCTATATATAATTTCTATATCAAAGTAGTTACCCCACTCTTCCCTGAAAGGTAGACCTTATTGAAGTACATGGGCTATAAGGTTTCTTAATTTGTCATTAACTCAACTAATTAATATAATCAATTACCTAAAAGCATTGATTACATTGGTTAGTGTCATATAAAATAACTGATTAATTAAAATTACAATTATCTAGATATGTACAATCTAAAATTACAATTAGATCAATTAATGTCACAAAAATAACCAACTAATGTTTCTGATTACTACTACTTCAATAATTCTAGGTATCCACAATTTGAAATTATGATTAAATCAATAAATGTCATGAAAACTATTAGCATTTCCAACTATCCAGAAACAGACATACTGCCATTTTGATTTTTCAATATTATTTCAGTTAGCATCATGACTGACAAAAGAAAATCAACAAATCCAAAATTAGGATTTCCAACTGTTACTGTTTTCAATTATTCGAACTATCCAAGTAAGTTAAGTATTGTCACTGTGCTTGTTTGTTGTTATGCACAAAGGTATACAATGGGCTATCTGTGCTCTTCTCACTGCAGGTATATTGAAACCAGATTTTTAGTACTAACATTTTTTTTACCCATCTTGTAAAAAAAAATCTATTAATTGAATGTAACTGATTAATTAGATTGACAATTAATCAATTAGCAAATTCCACTAATCATCCAGTTCTACCAGAACTGGACTGTATTGGCCCATTATAAGAATATCTAGTCTAAGCAACTAATATAAAATAATGAGTAATCTAGTGTGACACAATTCTTTTCACTAGCAATAGTGGTAAAATTCATTTTCAAATTAGGATGTCTTGTTACTAAAAGCAAACTAAGCTCAATTAATATTAATGGCTTACAGACAAATTAAAATTTCAGAAATGATTCTTATTTAAAAACAATAGCTTTTAAAATGTGATATGTATTAGCTTAGACCTTTTAGGATAAACAAAAATTAAGGGAAAAAATAGTAGAATAATCATAATGTTACAGCTTTATGTAGCTAGTTCAGAAGTTTCGGCTATGCAGAACAACATATACAGCTGAAGAAAATAAAACTAAATACAACATTCCTAATATGAGTTAAAAAATTCCAATAACATAAATAAGGCTTATTTAACCTTTTCTGGACTGGAGAGTTGTCACTGAAATCCCTTGAATTTCTTTCCTTCTCACAAAGGAAATACTTGCAACTCTGAACATTTTTTTATTTTTGTTTGTCACTAAGTGCCAAACTACACAATGAGCTATTTTTGATGCCCACAATGAGTATCAAAACCAATTTTTCCCAACAGGAGGCAACTTTGAACAAACATACTAAACAGTAACTAGTTTTAGCTTAACAATATTGCCCCCCCATCACCATTTTTAAATTCCTTGCTGCATTAAATTCAAAATTTAATTAAACCACTTTACTATTAATATATGTCTATGAAATTAACATTACTATGTGGTATAATTTGAATTTTAATTTTATCTAAGTTTTAATTACTAGTTTCAAAGAAAACCTTTAAAAAAATACTTATACTGCTGTTTCATGTCACATGATCTATGAGCTTTGAAAAATCTTGACTTTAGCAGTAGTTCAATCTTAGTTACATAAGCTGGCAACATACAGAAGAATCTACGTGCTTAATAGGTGTGTTTGACCTAACTGACATGGGAGCTTTAAAGTCTGCAGCTGGGTTATCTGGAAAACAGATATAAATTTTCCAACCCTTGACACGTGTCATGTCCATCTTCTATACTTTGCATTGAGATCTACAATGTACATGTAGTCATTTGACACAAGTGTATATACAGTGATTAGAAGGATCTCAGTTTACTCTATACCAATGGTTAATCTGAAATTGGCCTGCAGTTTTCCTCACAGTGTACATGTAAATGACATTTATATTGTTGTCTTCTTGATCAACTATAGCACTTGCAGTGGTTTCTTACCTAAATATGCTATAGTTAAAGGGACAGCTAAATTGTATTTAGGCCTTACTTATATATTTCAGTTAATCATGTATTATTTGTTTTAAAAATTATATTTGAACAGTTTAATGATTTTTATAAATTTAACTTGTTGCCTAGATTGTGAAAAGTTATAAACAAGGTGGCATGTATAAGCATCATCTTTTTTCACAAAATCATCTCTGCAGGGAGGCTGCCAAAAGTTAACAATTTCTTAAATCAAATATGTATTTCCAATAACACTTACCTCCATTCACACTACAGCTGTTACTCGACTCCCATCTGAACACTGGTCTGATTTTTTTTCACTTGCTCCATTCTTTTATTCCCCACTTAATTGCCCTTGGCAATATCTGTCTCGTGCCACTCTCCATCTAAGTCATTGCACCCTCTATCCTGGTATCATACATAAGCACCTCATTCAGATAATATTATCAATTTTTTGAGACTGACCCAAACCATAGTCTCTAAAACTGGCTTTTAGTGGGGAGAAAGGCTGGGAGAGTGTGAAAGGAGGTAAGTATTACTGGAAATACATTTTCAATTTAAGAAAATGTTATCTCCAAAAAATACTTATCCCCCACTCACACTACAGCTAGAATCCCAATTTGATAAAATGGAGGAGTCAGTGAGGGCACTATCCATACAGAATGCATTTGCATAGTTCGTGGGTGTGCCAATACAAGATTAGCACCCTAGTGGGGAAACCACACTACATCCAAAACAGATATGCTCTTTACCCAGAACATAATTCATACACTGCGAGTGTAATTAGACATGATACAGCATCACTACTGGCCAGACCACAAATAGATTGCCAAGGTTCCACTGCTCTCCTCAACCTGAAGAAGTCTGAAAGGCAGCAACCCAAACTTGGAATGATGGGATCCTGTATGCCATACTCAACCTGAAGAAACAGAAATCATCTGGTCTGGAATTATGAATACTCATCCTTTCTCCTTAACTGTGTGAGCAAGGTAAATTCCACTTGTCCCCTGAATTATGGGGAACATGTGGAACAAGCTGTACTCAACCAAGACCCCAGTGTCTGGAAACCGTGTGTGACAAGGATCCCCTAGCTCCACTAGTAAAATATAGGAGTGGGCGGAATGCGGGTTGGTGAGCCCTGAGGAACAATGCTCTGGAAACAGAGAAAGAGATGAATCAAGTTCCCTAAATTTTTCAAAACAAACTGACCCTAATTTATTCAATCCAATGATCGGCAGGGATGAGCAGGATCCCTTTATGCTTTACTCATGGTAGTCCATGAGTGGCAGTCCAGCATAGTACAGTAATACCACCCAGTCTGCTTCTAGGGGTCTTATTTCTATGGAGCCCGTTGCAACGTAGATAAAGCATATTGTGTTAGTAGGTTGCTAGTGCTGAATTGGTTTGAAAAAAGCACATGTGATTGAGCAACACTCGTCACAAAGTAGATCCTGTGAAAAAGAGGTGAGGGACCCTTGGAAAGAAAATAAGAGACAATATTAATAATGAAGATACTCTTACCTCCTTATAATCTAGCAGATGTGATTAAGATAGCTACAGGGGTAGTCAAAAATCCTTAGAGGAAGATACTGCCAAATCATGCAAATAATGTGAGATAAAAGTATTGAGGAAGGTCCACAAAACAGCCTGTACAATGTCCTCCAGCAGGAAATTCAACCGGGTCACTAAGGACATAGAAATGTGACAAATTTGATGAGACATAACTCGCAGATATATTCTCACCTCCAAAGAGAGCCCAGAATAAATGAAATAGATCAATTTTCATACCCACCTCTACAAAGTAACCGGGGATAAATCCTGGGAACTGAAGGATCCCAATGAATAAAAAGTCATTCTCTAGCACCTAGAAAAGTGTTAATGTGGGCAACATAATACTTCAAGGCCCTCATAAGACATAACAAATGATAAGATTCGATGAGAAATAGCAGACAGATGAATTGGTGAAAAGGATTTATCCCCTTTCCTGACTGCCAGTGTCTTAGGTAAGAAGAACCTGTCTGGGTATAGGAAGATATAGGTAGAATGATAAAGCATCCAGTGCACATGC